AAGCCGCTCTGGTTAAATTTACCAACAACCTACTGATGACTGCTGATTCTGGATCTCCTAGCATCCTCCTCCTCTTAGATCTTAGTGCTGCTTTTGACACCGTAGACCACAATACCCTCCTGCGGTGTCTGAGAGCACACTGTTGTCTCCGGAACAACTCTGAACTGGTTCTCCTCCTAGCTCTCCAATAGGAATCAATACATCACTATTGGAGAGTCCAGATCGGAGGAGTCTGCAGACATGCGGCATCCCACAGGGGTCAGTGCTGGGGCCTATCCTGTTTTTAATTGACATGCTCCCTCTCGGCCAAAACCTCAGACTATAACATCAACATCAACTGCTACGCTAACGATGCCCAGGTTTACATTAACACCATACTGGACACCATCTCTGCGCCAGTAAAACTCAGCATCTGCCTAGAGGACATCAGGGCATGGATGAAAGAGAACTTCCTCCAGTTGAACAGTAGCAAGACTGAGGCTATGCTTATTGGGACACCCAAGCAGGTCACCAGTGCTGGAAACATCTGCCCTACAATCAACGGCCAGGCCATCTATCTGTCTTCTCCAACCTGGGAGTCAAGTTTGATCCTTTTCTGTCCTTCGATGCCCACATGTAAAACATAATTTTTCCTTCTAAAAAAACATTGCACGGGTCATACCATCACTCTCCCAGCCAGATGCAGAGAAAGTCATCCATGCCTTCATCTTCTCTCGGAACGACTAAAGCAATGCGCTGTTTTGGGGGGCCTCACTACAGAGGCTCCAACTAATCAAGAACAGTGCTGCCAGGGTCCTGACTAGGACCAAGAAGTCAGACCACATCACCCCGATCCTGGTCCAACTCCACTGGCTACTGGTCAACTACAGGATCGACTTCAAAATCCTCCTGCTTGTATTTAAAGCCTTGAACGGATTGAGCCTCACCTACATCAGCGACCTCACCTCAATCAGCGAGCCACCTCGCACTCTCCGTTCCAGCCAATCCCTACTGCTTCAAGTCCACAAGACACGTCTCCGAACTATGGAGAACAGGGCCATCTGCTCCCTTTCCCCTAGCCTTTGGAATGCTCTCCCTGTCCATCTGAACTTTTAAAACAGGCCTTAAAGCCCACTTCTACAGACTGTCTTTCTCATAGTCCTAGTCCCAATCTGAAATATATTTAGCACCATCCCACTATAGCTATTTTACCTGCCTTGATTCTAAATGTGTTTTATTGTATATAATTGGTTATTTTGTTTACATCAGTAGAGCTTTGAGATAACTCTGTAATGAAAAGCGCTATACAAATGTAATGTATTATTATGACTTTAAGAAATACACTACATGACCAAACGTACATGGACACCTGCTCGTCAAACATCTCATTCCAAAATCATGGGCATTAATATGGAGTTGGTCCCCCCTGTCATGATTGTCCACAAGAATCCAAATAGGTCAGATCAGGTTTGCAATGAATAACTTCAATCTGACCCCCTCTCACCCGTAGAGGAATGTGGAAAGAATAGAATTGTTAATAGAGGGATGTGATTTGAGAAGTCAAGAGATGTTTTTCATAACTTTGCACAGTTAGTAGTCACCGCCTGAAGTGAGGTCAGAGGGCGTGTCAGCCCGCTGGAACTGCCCCTTTTCGAGCAGAGTGTATAAATGATGGGTAAATAAATTAACATACCAGACCAGAAAAACGTGAAGCGGCAGCTACACGTTTAAAATTGTTGGAACTTTGAATCTCAACACAAGGTGAAGACAATAAACTCACTTCCCGGACAATCACTAGTACGGCTGATTAGCTGTCCTAAGTAAGGTATCTTCGAAAGCGAATTTAAGTAGGACCATCTACTACTCTGCTCAAACTATCGTATTACGCTACTCTCATCACCCCACTGAGGAACCATCGATACGGCTGCCTAGCCTATCTTCAAAGAAGCAACTTCAAGAGCGAATGGAAGGAAAATCAATTCTGTAGTTCTGTTTAGGACTACATGACAAGTTATCGGAGACCGGACAACAGTAGAAGACTGTTGGAACCATTTTGGACAATAAGAGACTTACAAGTGTGCCGTGAAAAGGCCCACCCCCATTAAGGCGGTCCGGTTCACCGAGAGATTCCCGGCGAACAAAGGCATTTCACGTAAATACATTCATGATTTCTTACTCAAAGCGGGCGGCGGTTCGTGTGTAAAGTATATGGGTACTGTAGGTGAGCGTAGTTTCTGAATGTATCAAGGTTAAGTCTCTCTGTCCCTCTCTCTTCCCATCTCTTCTTTTTAACAAGCAGCCATGTTGTCATTCCGCTAGGGACCTGTTTTCTCCAGTCAATAACCGGTGCAGAGTGTGTATGTTTATCCTGTGTTCCCATTTAATTAGCTAGTAAATAAATAATTAAACCAATTTGTGTAGTACTGAATCATAAGTAAGGCTCAGGTTTTAGCAGATGCAAGGAGGTTATGACTGTTCAGAATGATATGATACGAGGTTATGATTAATAAGTTGACTGTTTATAGATGTGGCAGGTAAAACCCTTTTAGAGTTTAATTTGGGAGATGGTAACTCTGTGGCTCTCGTGGTGCCACAGATACTAATGAGTTAATTGTTACATGATTAATTTAAATCGGGTAACAATTAAACATAGTTAGTTAATTAGAGATAAGTCTTCAGATTAATGTTAAATTCACGTCACGACACCTCTTTGCTGCTATAACAGCCTCCACTCTTCTGGCAAGGCTATCCACTAGATGTTGGAACATTGCTGCGGGAACTTGCTTGTCTATAAACATGCCCTCATGTTCTGTGTTTTGGTCTGCCTCTGTTCTAGTTTTATACTTGTGCCAAAAGTTTAACTGCTGTGGTGTAAAGTTGCACTTTATGAGCCTATTGCAACCATCGGTGACCACCAGATTATCGCCAGCTGATCTCTCGTTAAACCATCAATATGGGCTAAATTCACCCGCACAGCTGATCTTAATTGCCAATATTATTGGACACCTTACTAACGCTCCCTAAAAGCTGACGTCGGTGTTACCTTAGTCCTGCTTGCTACCAAAGACTTTCAAGATATGTTCGCCCTCTGGTGGGTATAAGAAAAACGTAGTCCTACTTTTTAAGTAGACTAAGGGTGATTTATCTGTTTGACAATTATTCCATACAACAAAAAATAAGGTACATCCTCGTTTACCACGGCAAATCTGTGTTGCAATCCATTAAGTTCAACTGTCTTTAATATAAAATCTTCTGGTATGGTCATTCCTTATCAAGATCGGGGCTAAAATATCCCTGGACTGTACGGACGGAAGAAATCCTGTGATATCCTTGACTGTAGACTGTAACCGAGATGTGCCTCACCATGGAGCTACCAATGATGATGGCTGGAGGAAGGTGAATGGTCGTAGATGTCCGGTCTTTTCTGTGCCTCCTTGAGGACTGACGGGAGATGGGGGACAGAGGACCCACACTATCAACAGAAACCCTCAGAGCAGGGTGGGATGCTGGAGTCTCAGACACCCTCGAGGCCTGATGTGAAAGGGAACCCGGGGGTAGAGGCATGTGTTAGAAACCCCCTGTGCTGGACCCTCAGGACACAGGGTAGAGGATGAAGGAGCAAGAATCTCCGGAAGCAGGTGGGCGAAACTGTTGGTCATTAGGATGTCCAGCTCAGACATATTCCTCAATAAGCTGAGTTTCCACATTGGAAATTTGGCCGGTAAATATTATCCCGGAACTGTGCAAAATAGGTGCAGCTCCTACATGGGATGAAACGTTCACCATAGTCTCTGAAGATGGTAGTCGCCAATCTGGAAAAACAGCATGATCATTACACAGGTGCACCTTGTGCTGGGGACAATGAATGGCCACTCTAAAATGTTCAGTTTTGACACAACACAATGCCACATTTCTCAGGTTTTGAGGGCGCGTGCAATTGGCATGACTGCAGAAATGTCCACCAGAGCTGTTGCCAGATAATTTAATATTAATTTCTCTACCATGACGTCGTTTTAGAGAATTTGGCAGGACGCTTAACCGGCCTCACAACCTCAGACTACGTGTAATCATGCCAGCCCAGGACCTCCACATCTGGCTTCTTCACCTGCGGGATCGTCTGAGACCAGCCACCCGGACAGCTGATGAAAGTGTGGGTTTGCACAACCGAACAACTTCTGCACAAACTGTCAGAAACCGTCTCAGGGAAACTCATCTGCGTGCTCGCCATCCTCAGCAGGGTCTTGACCGAATTCAGTGGGCAAGCTCACCTTCGATGGCCACTGGCACGCTGGAGAAGTGCGCTCTTCATGGATGAATCCCGGTTTCAAATGTACCGGGCAGATGGCAGACAGCGTGTATGGCGTCGTGTGGGCAAGCAGTTTGCTGATGTCAACGCTGTGAACAGAGTGCCCCATGGTGGGGTTATGGTATGGTAAGGCATAAGCTACGGACAATGAACACAACTGCATTTTATCGATGGCAATTTGAATGCACAGAGATACCGTGACGAGATCCTGAGGCCCATTGTCGTGCCATTCATCCATCCCCATACTCACCAGACAGCTACCACTTCCAATTCAAATAAGCTAAAAAAAAGTGAATTACATTTTTGTTTTGTGTGACTATAGCGCCAACGCAAATATAGACACGTTCTAATTGAGCGAGGCGTCAAAGCAGACAACCCGCCCGCCCGGCTTCGGATGGTTCATTATAATTCAAAAAACAATACATTCTAAAATAAAAATCACACACACACACCTCGCACAGCTCACCTTTCAAGTTTCAATGTCATTTGCTTGTAATGATGCAGGTTTTATCAGAAGGTCATCTACAGTAGCTAGCCATGCATTGTCTGTATAAAATTCAGCAAGTTTGCTAGCTAGCTTCGTTTACTTTTGATCATAACTTTCTAGGTGTTTCAACTAGAAATAGAAGGCTCGCTATCCGTGGTGCTGAAATGCTGCAAGCAGAATCTACCCCCCCCCCAAAAAACAATACATTTATTGTGATGCATACTATTTTAATTGTCAGCTTCTTAAAAAAAACACAGCCATGCTTTATTACACAGTATCTCTTTAGTAAACAAAAAATACAATAACATTTCAACAAAAACAGATGCACTGGAATGCACTCAAAAAAGCACAAACTGCACCCTGTACATTTTCAGAGACAATTTGATATAATGGAACGTTCCAAGTGAATGGAATAATCAGTGCATCAATGCTGGATTGCGAATCAATCCAACGTTTTTTGTTAGGGAAATATTAAAATAAGCAATTTTCTGAAAATGAGATGGAGTGCAAATAAAACACTTGAACCTTATTGCCTAACACTAACAGAGGTGAGTAGCCAGTTGCTATCTAAAACGGCAATGTCTATTTATGCAGCAGGCAGAAAATATGACACACTTCAGAGCTATTATTATTGCCCTCAAATAGTATTTTGTGCACACATCAGGTCTTTAATAGAAAGTGTCAGATCAAGTCCATGGTAAGAAGTTACAGTGCAGTGCCAGGCCCATAAGCCAATAGGAGATGAAGTACCCTAGAATCCATCGTGTGGGGATAGAGCATGTCTTCCAGCGGGACAGTAGATGAACAATGGGGTTTTGGGGTAAGTACAAGAAGACAGTCCTGGGTGTCCCCCGCTGCTGCCCCTTATTGGATGTGGGTTGTGACCTTCGCTGAAGGAGGGGCTCATAGAGTAAGAGCAAGTGGGCACTGATCCAGAAAGGTACAGGGGAGGAGGAAGACAGAAACCGGGTCAAAACCTGGAGAAATCAGTAAAAGAGAAAAACATTAATGGACTAAATGAGCTGCCTGTATTTCATAAAAATCTTCAAACACGGCAATTTGTTTAACATTATGTGACCGTTGTTCCCCCACTAGACCTGTATTAAAATCCCCGTACATGAACTAATCAGTGGAAAAGTTTCTCACCTGCACATGCATGCAGAATGTTCCAAATCCCAGGAGCATTGTAGCATGCACCACATACAAAAACACCCTGGGGCTGTAAAATCCAGGTGTGGGTTTGTCTGGCCGTTTGTTTGCCCCTTCGTCCCATAGCCCCAGTCTCAGACACCTGGCTGGGTTAGCCCTATAGTACATGTAGGCCGCCGCCATGCCCAGAGTTGCCATGGGCAGTGCCAGCAGGAAGTTGGGTATCTGCTTAAGCTGGAAGTAGCGCAGGAAGCCCACATCCCAATACACATCCTGGATATGAGAGTAGAGCAGGGGGAGGGGTCGCAGGCACCAGAGGGGTGGGGGTGCGTTTTCGTCAGGGACCCTGTAGCCTTTATCCTCAGCCAGCTGGATGAGGGCAGGGGAAACCTGCTCCAAGGAGAGGGAGGGTGTACAGAACGCCCTGTACCCATAGTACTGGAAGACCAAGAAGGGGAGCGCAATAACTGCTGTGCCCAATGCAGCCGTGAACAGGAGACGAGCGACGATCCAGGTGTAGTGGAGGCATTTGTTGTGCCTGTTATTGTCCTTATGCAGTCCCCAGATCTTGGACAGGGCCTGTTGCAGGGGCAGATACAACAAGAATCCTACATTCACAAGTCCATTGGCTCGCGCAGCAGTAGCTATACTCAGAGCCAGGCAGGCTCTAAGGGTGTATCCTCTCTCCAGGAGAAAGAGGCCACCGAAGGTCAGTGCAGCAAACAGGCTCTCTGAGTAACCAGCTGTCATGAAGACATTGGCAGGGGTGAGACAGTAGAGCAAACTGGAGACTAGAGCAAGACGCCGGTCCTGCAGCACCACGCGGCCAAGTCCATACAGTGCTACCACACTCAACAGGAAGAGAGCGCTGTTACCCAAGGCAACAGCCAGTAGCAGGCGTCCACGCAGTGTAAGACAGCCACTGAGGGGCCGTAGTATAGTCTCTGCAAGCCCCCGCAGTATGACAGGGAACAGGGGGAAGAAGGCGTAGTTGTGCTCATACAGGTAACCCCTTTCAGCGATGAAGAGAAAATGCTCTGCATCCCAGTGGGAAAGGCCCCCCAGAAACCATTGCACTGCAGGGTCCAGAAGCCGAGGCTCCACCTCTGCAGGTGGAGGAGTGAATGCATCAGCTTCGTGATCTGGGATTGCAGCATTTAGGAGAGCCTGAAAGGGAGGCACAGCAAACGAGATGACAAGCACACACCAATTACACTTTTCTAATTGATTAACATCCAAGTCCTTCAATCTGTGGACGTTATGCTGTAGTTAACCAGCCACTATTGTAAATAAATACATTATTATTACTGACCTGTATTAGTAGTGACAAGCCTCTTGTGGTGGCGGCGAATTGCAGTACCGTCTTAACGTCCATCTGTCATTACAATGAACAGCCTTACCCATAACAATAGCTAGCGCGAGCTAGCCTGCTGTCGTTGGAACAAAAGGCAACACAATATTCCGCCTCTACAAATACTCGAAATAGACGGTGTCAATTTGGACTAAACGTTGACATTCATTTACACACGGTCAATTTTTTCGTCACACATATCTTTACTTTTTTATTAGAGAAGCCAGGTCAGAACCATAGACATTAAGCTCAGAAACCTTCACATTCTATTATTGGAACCGCTTGGTCCGCTAAATATTTACTTCCGGTGGAATTTTCTCTATTTCAAAATAAAAGTTCGAGTGAAAAAGGGACATTGTATCCAGCTGTTAAACAGAAGGGAATAATATTTGCTTTGAATGATGTTCAGTTATCATTGTTGCATAATGAAATACTACAATAACTTTTATGACCTTTCATAAATATACTAATTACGATACCATATAAAGTATAGATTCATCATACAAGACTAGTTTGTCTTGATTCAAATACTAGAAACTAGTCATAACCAAGGAAGCAGAGACCAAGGTGCTTCTTTGATCATGGAGGATTGCACACTAGTGTGCAGGCTTTTATCCCAGCCCAGTACTAACATAATAACCTGATTCAGTTTATCAAGCTTGACCATTAGTTGAATCAAGTGTTCTAGTACTGGGCTGGAATAAAAATACATGCACACCCGGTATGTTCACAGGGCCAGGGATTTTAGAACATTTTTGAAAAATAAACTGCTTTTTAATAAATTGTACATCTGAGAAAAAGACACTTCAAGTCCAATGGAACAAAACCATCAAACATCTTACGAAGATTTAATGTACATTTATTCTTACCACGTGGAACATATAGTATAAAGATTTCATACTGAATAAATGATATTCATTGAGCCAAAAAATGGGAAAAGGAGGAATTTACATGTTTTTAGTTACATAGTCTGAAATACAAATATGCAGAATCCATATCACTGGAGAAAATAACTGTCAAATGTGTGTTTCTTCATCTAGAGTTTTTTTGTTGTACCAGGAGGAGATAACAGATTTGACCCGAGTCTGCCGTACTAAGGAGCCGTGGAGTGAGAGGCTGGAGGAGAGAGGGTCTATCAGCAGGGACTGGATGACAGGAACCAAACTCATGGGTCACCTTCATTCCTCATCAACAAAAAGTGTGGGAATAGTGACACGGACAGAGACAGACACAGAGAAAGGAAGTGTAATGTACAACATCATATATACACCACAGCAAAGCTGCATCTGAAGTTGAAAACCAGTCCTAAGAGGTGATTTCTTTTACAAGGGTCAATTCATACAATCAAGGGCTAAAGAGAGGAGGTAAGGGTGTTGTAGTAGGTTCTCGGTACTTTGGGGAAAGCCTTTTTAGCTTTTAAACGTCAAAACTAAAATGACCTTTTAAAACTCTAGTACAGCTGCATTGTCAACGTTTTTCTGTATGAAACTTGTTTACAGAATGCTTGACACTCAAGAGCAGTACGGCACATAAAATGCCCTACAATCTACTGCACAGGCCTCCCCAGTGAAGGTGTCTGTCAACAGCCTACGAAGTTGTAGGCTGACTGGTTAGCATCCAATTACAGCAACTATACCATCAGACCAGGCCGTTCCTCAGTCTGCTTTACCTCCAAACATGAACCAGAGTCTGACTCACTCACTGTGCTCTCGAGGGTTGAGAAAGGGCACACATTATCCCCAAACTTACTGTAAACGAGACAGCAACTTTGGTTACAGTTTGTTTTTCAACTACTTATTTATCTTTATTAAAAATACCCCCTCCCCCCAACGTGTGGAACACTCCTAAACCCAGGTTCTCCACTCCATGTCATCTAATTGGAATTAATGTTACAAGTTGTGTCAGTTTGTGGAGTCTCAGGTTTGTAAATCCACCACTGCAGCTTTGTGACGTCCCTTCTCCTTGAGTGAGAACAGCAAGAGCGGGCTCAGAGAGTGGAATCTGAAGGGTTTGCATAAATTAAAAACAGTCACTTGAACTTTCCCTGCCCCCGACACACGTACAAGCCAGGTTGTAACCAGGGGGTGAAACCTAGAGGAGGTGGAGCCAAAGCTCCCTACAGCTGTCATGACTGGCCAATCAGAAAGAGTACATCGCAGATGACGTGAGACACCACTGAGTTCATGAGCGGTGACACGGAGAGGTCGAGGAGGCGCGATTCGTACAGTGTGAACTCTGAGTGGTTCTCCTCCACCTTGGCTAAGGCGTGCAGGGCCCGGGCCGCCCGTCGCATCATGTCATTACTGGTGGGCTCGAAGTGCATCCCCTGCAGGTGCAGCAGAGAGCTCTGGCTCTGCTGTAGCTGGGTGGCCGCCAGGCTATCCTCCAAGAAGCCCAGGAGGTTACCCACGCTTCCCTTCTGCACGGCGATGGCACGCGCTGCCATGCTGTCTCCCTGGGCCAGGTTGGCCAGCAACACCACCGACATCTCCCTGCAGACGGCCACCTTTCTCTCCCCAACCAGCCGCACCAAGGTCCCATACAGCTTCTCTAACCGACCCAACGGCGGCGTGGCCAGGACCAGGTCCACATTGTTGTCTTGGATGCTCAGCTTGCTGAGGGTCTCCAGGACCAGTCTCTGGGGTGACATTGCACTGTGGGGCCCCAATGTGGGGAAGGGGTCCTGGGCCTCAGCCGAGGGGCACACGGCCCAGTGGAGGAGGCCGTCCAGCAGCGGAAGGCAGATGCTCTCGGGGTAGATGGAGAGGTCCAGCTGGCCAGAGATGTTGGCCAGAGTGACCAGGCCGTTCTCCCTCAGCAGCGACAGGCAGTCCCACCACCATTCGTCCCTCTGGCCAAGGCTGTCATCAGACTCCTCCTCCTTTTCGTAGGTGAGCGGGGCCTGCTTCCTCTCAGGGTGGCGGTGGTGCAGCAGCACTAGGCGACCCAGCAGCAGCATGAGGCCCGGGTGTTTGGACATCTCCTGGTCATTGCCAGGCACGAAGGAGAGGCTGCGCACAATGTTGGAGACGCAGATGCAGCGGCGGGCCAGAGCGTCCTGCCAGTTGGCCAGCGTAACCAGTGGGCCCTCGTCTTTGCTGTGAGGCTCGTCCTCCACCACACGCTGGGGGACCTGCTGACCAGGAGGGCCGCTCGGTTTGTCGTTCTCCTGCTGGCTCTGGGGCTCTTCCGTCTGTGATGTTTCCTCTGTCTCAGCTTCCAAGCGCTCGGACTTCCCCTCCTTACTGTCGGCTGAGGTGCCGGTTGATGTTGAGGCCTTCTCTGTGGATGATGGCTGGGAGGGCCTCTGATCTTCCTCCCCCTTCTCCTTGTCTTTCTCTGTGGTGGTAGCATTGTCCTTGTCCCCCACCATCTCTGGTTCTGGCCTTTTCCTCCTGGCTGTGGGGACGACCAGCACCCGTTCTCGTGGCTCCAGGAAGTCTTCCCTCCTCTCAAAGTGGGTCTGGATGTGTTCCGTGCTGTCCCCCCCGCCGGCGCTCCAGTGGAGCAGCCCACTGTCAAACTCCTGCACTTTGCCTCTCTGGCTTGCCCTGCCTGCTGCAAACGGGTCCTTCTTCCGTACCATCTTGAGGGGGAGCTTGTCGAACTTGCTAGCCTGTTTGGGTCTCTCCTGGGGGGTAGCCGGGCCCAGGGCAGGGGGGTCCGATGAAGAGCTGGGCTGCTCAAATGAAGAGGAGCTCTTCCCCCTCTTCTCCTCATCTTCAGCGTCCTTCTCTTTCAGAGTGTCCCTGTTCCGAGCACGACTCCTGCTCATCCTCTTGCTTCACCTGAGCCTGTCCCTCGAATGTCGTCCTGGCCGGTTGGTTTGAACGCTGCACCACCTCCTCCTCCTCTTCTTCCTCATTGTCATCATCCTCCTCTCCCTCCACCTCCATGTCCTCATCTTCCGTGCAGCTCCAGTCTCGGTCCAGGGCTTCAGGGTCCAGTAGAGTCCTCTGGCCGGGGTCGCCCACCTCGTACTCGCGCAGGATGCCGAAGATCTCGATGAGACAGCGCCGGAAGTACTCCACCACCAGCTCCAGCAGGCCAGGCAGCTGAGGAGGAGGAAATGGAGGAGAAGATTAATAGTTTGCATTGTATGATATGGACGACAGAAAATCTGGAAAAGGGTTTGGGAATTTAATAAAATGTGAAAGGATAAATGTAAAAAAGAAAAAGCAGAAAGTCCTACTAAATCAGAAAATATGACATTCCTGATTGTATAGGTTAACCATGTAGGGGTTTTATTAAATAAACCTCTTATCCCACATTGTGGCCAGTGTAATAACAATAATTTGGTGGGTGCTTATATTTGTCCTATTTCTCACATGTACAAGCGTGTATTAATATTATGTGTAAATTGTTTTTTTGCATATCCGACTCTCCCCAAGACACCCTCGGCGAGTGGGGTCACGGCCAGGGTCTGGTGCAATTAGGGTTAAGTGCCTTACTCAAGGGCACTGACAGATTTTTCACCTTGTCGGTCTGGGATTCGAACTAGCGACCTTTCGGTTATTGGCCCAAAGCTCTAAGCGCTAGGCTACCTGTCTTGTTAGCTCACCGTATTGAGGTTGAAGGTGGAGATGCTGTTGTCATCATACAGGAGGATGTTGATAGTGTCCAGGGCCCACGTGCTCTCAGCCAGCAGGCCAGACTTTAGGGACATCATCACCCTCCAAGCCTCTGGGGTCCCTATGGAGATATACAAATACAGTATTTTAACTCAAGCTGATACCCTTCACAGTGCTGATGGACCACACAATACACAAACTTTCATAGAGATCCGAAGCAACCTATCATTGTAGTGTCCAAATGTGATCCCTAAATAGTGAATATTGTATATTGCATGTATAATACTTTTGTGATTGTGGGTGGTGTTGTGGGTTGTAATGGCCATACCGATATCTTTCGTGGTGAGGCGTCGGCGTGGTTTTAGGACGGGGTGGGTGGCCTCTACTGAGCCTGGGGGAAAGGGCATGTCTCTACGGATCAGAGGGGACTGCACAGACTGGGGCACTATGTGAGAGGCAGGAACCGGGGGCCCCGCCTTTTGCATCTTGATGCCACTGTGCATGTAGGGAGATTTACTGGGCGACGTCCGGCTCTCCATGGGGCCCCCACGAGGCATGGGGGAGGGACTGGACACCTGTGGAATGTGGTTCTGCATGGCCTGAGCGGATTGGTAGTTGGACTGTAGGGTGCGGGTCATGGGCGGGCCCGTCCCTCCAGGGCCGTAGGGGGGCTGCCGAGGGCCCATCTGACCTGGCCCCCATTGGCCCTCGTGGTTCATGCGCTGCTCCGATGACATCATTTCCTCCGAACCGCGGTTCAGGCCGGGTCCCTGGGCTGAGCCCCCTGGTGGACCACCCTGCCGGTTGGGGTAGTTGCCGGGATAGTTAATCTCCCCGCGGCCCTGCCACATGCCACCCTGGGGGCCGTCAGGGCCTGGCTGCATCATCTGAGGGGGCATGGAGGGCTGGGCGTTGAGCCCCGTGGCAGCCTGCATGCGCTCCCTGTTGAAGGGGAAGGGGAACTGGCCCTGGGGACCAGATACGCGGCGATCAGTGCCGGGGAAGGAGCCGCCACTGTACTGGGGTTGGTACATCTCTGGCTGGCCAGCAGGGGGTGCAGAGGCTGCTGCTGGCTGCTGCTGCTGCGGTTGTTGTTGCTGCTGCTGCTGCTGCTGTGGACCTCCACTGAAGGGCCCGCTGTACATCTCCCCCTCGTGACGCTTCGCTGGTGGGTAGCCCCCTTCCACAGGACGCTTGTAGTTCTGCACAGAGCAAAGACGCTTAGTTAGACGGTGTTATTACATTGGCTAGTGGTTACTACATTACAGTTTGTGATTTACAGTGACGTCACACTTCCAGTGCATACGCAGTGAGTTGGAGCCTTCACCTGTTGTTGCTGTGGGTACATTCCTGGCTGCTGATTGGGATAGGAACCACCAGGGGGAGTACCATGGCCAGGATATTGATTACCATAGGAATCATTCCTGTAAACAACCACAACACATCAGCAAGACATTCCACATAAGCCGAGTGCCTATATACCTAATATTGCTACAGTATACTGCTAGTATGCCAATAAACCCTCATTGTGAAAAACAACCCAATCTTTAAAATATTGCAAGACTATAAATGCTGGGACAGTCAGTGCATGGTGTGTGTCTGCACAAGTCTGTGCCAGCCCTCTCCTGAGATAGAGGGTTGCTGGGTTGTGAACTGACCGTGGCTGCTGCTGTGGTGGGTAGCGGTTTGGCGAGTACATCCCTGTGTCGGTGTTGGCGGGCATCAGGTTTGGCTGCGGTGCAACAGATCCCATGCTGCCCTCTGGGCCCATCCCCTGCTCTGGCCTGGTAAACAACACCATACAGGACAAGGTTGGTTGACCATACTTAGTACAAATAATTTCCATTAAAAAAGGAAATGAGCAGACTTCTACACATTCACTATGCAGTCAAAGATGGTGTCTGTATAGAAATAGAAATATACTCAATATGGCCGCCAGTCCACCCATCATAGACACACTGACTTGAATTTGGATGTCCTTTCTAAGTAATTATATTTCTATGGTCTGTAAGCGTGTAGGGTCTTACCTCCTCTCGTAGCCTTGTCCGTAAGGTCCTGGTCCGTACTGCTGTCTCTGAGCCATCGACATGTTCCCCATAGCACCTGGTGGAGGCCCGCGGTTAAACTGCTGCTGCTCAGCAATCCCACTGTTAGGACCCTGACTGGCAGGCAAGAACTGCTCCCCAACTGGAAAGAAATACACACTCCGTCAGCAAGGGACCCAGCTTCCCAGCACCATCAGTTTCTAGGGATCTTTCTTGCAGCCCTCTTCTACCCACCTTTCCGCATGGCACCAAAGGGGTCTTTGTTAGGCCCTGGACCCTCGTAGGGCCCTGGACCCATGCGAGCTGGCATCTCTGGGGTACTCATGCCAGACTGGTAGCCAGAGTTAGGGGTCATGGAGTTCCTTCTGGGGAAAGCAGGGTCACTACCATCAGCAAATGGGTCCTGCAACGCCACATTGCTCCTAAAAGATAGAGGGACGTTTAGTGAGTAAATAGGGGTTTAACAAAGCAGCTAAAAACAGAGTTGGGGTGAATTCCATTTAAATTCAATAAGTAAATTAAAATTCCAATTGAAGAATTGAATCTCCTGAATGCAATGGATAACTCAAAGAGGATGAGATTGAAGCACTGCGACTCACCTGGCCCCGGGTGGCATCTGGGTGGGGTGTGGGGTGGAGGCGGGTGTGGGGGGCTTGAGGTCGCTGCCCTCGGCCATGGAGCTGCTGGTGGACTGGGGGGTCTGAGGGCCCTGGAGAGAGCCTGACCCAGCTACCGGAACAAAAGAGGGACATTTCAGTTAGAGAGAGTTGGGTATACATGACTTTCACCAGGATGGTTCAAGACCTGAATGCTGATTGTCTGAAAGCCGTGGCATATCAAACCGTATACCACAGGTATGACAATAATTACTATTTACTGGTCTAATTACATTGGTGAGCAGTTTATAATATCAATAAGGCACCTTGGGGGTTTGTGGTATATGGCTAATATACTAAGGCTACGCGTTGCGTCGTGACTAAGAACAGCCCTTAGCCGTGGTATATTGGCCATATACCACACCTTCTCGGGCCTTATTGCTTAATTATACAGGTCCTTCAATCGACATTATCTATATGAATGCAGCTGCCACTTCATTAAAGCCGTTAGATACAGTTAACATAGTGCACGTCGTTTTATTACGGCGTCAGGTTCAGTACACATCACTGCATTCTTTACCAGAAAGTAAGCTGGCCCTCTTTGAATTCAAGTAGGTCGATTCATCGCTTTCTTTTTATTCATAAAGCTCTCTTTAAAAAAAAAACAGCCACCATACCTAACTTCGTTAATAACTAATAATAAGTATGAGTTACCATACCCCGGTCTCAGGGATGGCTAACACATGAAATCTCTTCAGTCTCCTCAGAGTTAGGTAAATCTGCTTTTCCCTACAACTGGATGTTCTGGTGCCTCTCGGGCAGTTCAAAATGTTGACCTCTTTGCTGATGAATGTGATTGTTATTTTTTACAAAAATATATATTTGTATTATATTGTATTTTGTAAATTATGCGTATGCAGGGCTCCCTTGTGAAAGAGACCTTGGTCTCAATGGGACTCCATGTTAAAACTTAACTTCACAACGGAAAAAAATGTTACATATTTTGCTTCGAAAATTAGCGTTTCATATTGGACAAGACCAGGTAGTCCCAACCAGTTTCAGTCCGCAGTCCGTTTGATGCCTAATAATTACAACCCAGCATAGTGTGGATAACCGTCTGGCACTGACCTGGGGAGGGTGGCTGGACCTTGGCCTGGTTGGCCTTCTTGTTGTCAGTGATGATCTCAGGAGGGGGGTCCTCCCCGCGTTCGAGCTTGCACTCGAAGGCGTATAGACACTGGATGTACTGCTTCTTCAAGGAGCTGGCGGCGCTGCTCGACGTGCCAACGTTCAGGTTGGTGGACAGCTCACGCCACTTCTTGTTCTTGTTCACCTGGACATAGAGCATGAAGACAGGGACATTAAAACAGGGACCAGAGAGAAGAGGATGAGGTGTGTTTGTTCTAAGGTGTGTTTGTTCTAAGGTGTTTTGTGCGTGTGTTCTACTTATTTATTAAACCTATATTTATCCAGGAATTCCCATTGAGGGCAGAAGACCCCTTTTACAGGGGAGACCTGGCCAAGAGGGCAGCTCAATCGGAAAACACATAGATCAAACACACTACAGTGCATGCATGCATAGTACAGCACAAACCTACACTGACCTGTGCGAAGCCTCCAATCTCCTTGACCGAGACGTAGAGTCTGAAGAGGTCCAGGGGCTTGCGGCCCACAGCAGGCAGGTTGGTCATGCCCATGGCTTTCTCCTCGATAAAGCCCAGGTAGCGGTCCACCCACATCTTCCTCTCGAGCTCGGGGCCCAGCTCGTACAGACGCGTGATCTTCTCGTTGGTTGTCGTGGAAGAGCTCGACTTCTGGAAGGCGTCAAGAGAGAGCCGTCGTGAGGGAAAGGGTTGGGTTATAAATTGGTCTTATTTCCCTTTAGTAGCTAGCTCATTGGCAACTGTAACAACCACGGAATAAAGTCAAAAGTATGATTGTCACACGTGTTTTAACAGTTTACAAACAATATGGTTTATAACGTAGTTTATTTTAGCATACACACAAGCCCGCAAACAAAATTGTCCCAAGTGGACAGACAATAAAGTCATCATTATCTTATCACCTTGGATTTAGTCGGTTCCGCTTTCGGTGTTCCGTCCACTTTGTTGTTCATCTTTTGGCCCTGGTTCATTTTCCCATCCATACCAAACTCTGGACTCGGGGCCATACCTAGGTACAAGGGTACATTGAGGGGTTGAGAACTGTTCAACGGCTTTTGAACAACAATTCTCTGGATTAGGACATATACCAAACAACTGCTGAACGACCATAAGAGGCAGCTGACATTTTTTTATATTCTAATTTCAGAGCAATACAGACTAACAATAAAGTTTCCCTTATAGAACTTATTCATACCGCGGCCATTGTTCATTGACCAACGTTATCTTCTAACAGGATAGGAAATGCTCTGGTGAAACCAATGCAAAAACTTTCCTCAAGTGTGACCTGTAGATTAACAACCACTGCACTAAAACAATATTTGTTTTGGAAAACTCATGCTTAGCTACCCATACTATCAGTCTATGCTAGAACTTTCAGATGAGAAAAGGGTCTATTGTGAAAACACTGCAGACAAATTGCATCAGGCCTTACTTACTGGCCACTGTCCCAACCAAAGTCATCCTGCCATATCAGAAATACCTGGGGCACCATGGTGCAACACTATTGGACTACAGTACTCACCACTGGAGTTATTGGCCATGTTGGGCCCCATAGGGAAAGGCGGGCCAACCTGCGCGTTCATCATGCCAGGCATGTTGTTCATGGGAGGGCCATAGGGGGCACCAGAGCCCATCATGCCAGGGGACATGTTGGGGTAGCCAGGCATCCTGAACGATGAGGGACAACCACACTTTTAGCATGTAGCATGATAGAGTAAAAAACATTCCTCTCCTACAGAGAAATTCATCTCTTATGCTGAAAAACAATCAGTTATGCAACTATATCACTAAATAAGAAAGAGTGTGTTATGAGTACCATTGCAAGGGGGAATTCCTTGAGTTCTTGATACGAAAATGGCTAGTGACTTTGTACACCTGTGAAGACTGTAAAGACTAAAGAGGGAAAATATCCTGAATCTGCATCTGAATTCTCCAATGCATTTCATGTGTTTATATGTAATGTGAGAGCCAGGTATTCCTCGTAGTGACAGGGGCTGGAGAACATCTAATCTGCCTCTCCCTGTCTACCTCTCAGTGGTCTCATCGGTTCTCTCCTCTGTTCTTTATTTCCCGCTGCTCTAATCACTCCTCCTCTCACTGCCTTCACTGGACCTTCAACGTAGAGGAAAACCTGCTAGTTAGGACCAGATAACGCATACTCAACACATTAACAATGATAAAAAAAGAACAATATATTGGGTGGAGGCACACACCTGTCTATATAAGGTCCCACAGTTGACAGTGCATGTCAGAGCAAAAACCAAGCCATGATGTCAAAGGAATTGTCCGTAGAGCTCCGAGAAAGGATTGTGTCGAGGCACAGATCTGGTGAAGGGTACCAAAAAAGTTCTGCAGCATTGAAGGTCCCCAAGAACACAGTGGCCTCCATCATTCTTAAATGGAAGAAGTTTGGAACCACCAAGACTCTTCCTAGAGTTGGCCGCCCGGCCAAACTGAGCAATCGGGGGAGAAGGGCCTTGGTCAGGGAGGTGACCAAGAACCCGATGGTCACTCTGACAGTGCTCCAGAGTTCCTCTGTGGAGATGGGAGAACCTTCCAGAAGGACAACCATCTTCGCAGCACTCCACCAATCAGGCCTTTATGGTAGAGTGGCCAGACAGAAGCCACTCCTAAGTAAAAGGCACATGACAGCCCTCTTGGAGTTTGCCAAAAGGCACCTAAAGGACTGTCAGACCATGAGACCAAGATTCTCTAGTCTGATGGAACCAAGATTGAACTCTTTGGCCTGAATGCCAAGCGTCACGTCTGGAAGAAACGTGTCACCATCTCTACGGTGAAGCTGTGGGGATGCTTTTCAGCGGCAGGGACTGGGAGACTAGTCAGGATCGAGGGAAAGATGAACAGAGCAATGTACAGAGAGATCCTTGATGAAAACCTGCTCCAGGGCGTTCAGGACCTCAGACTGGGGGCCAAGGTTCACCTTCCAACAGGACAATGACCCTAAGCACACACCCAAGACAACGCAGGAGTGGCTCCGGGACAAGTCTCTGAATGTCCTGGACTTGAACCCGATTTAACATCTCTGGAGAAACCTGAAAATAGCTGTGCAGCGACGCTCCCCATCCAACCTGACAGAGCTGGAGAGGATCTGCAGAGAAGAATGGGAGAAACTCCCCAATTACAGGTGTGCCAAGCTTGTAGCGTCATACCCAAGAAGACTCGAGGCTGTAATCTCTGCCAAAGGTGCTTCAACAAAGTACTGAGTAAAGGGTCTGAATACTTATGTAAATGTCAAATTTCAGTTCTTATTTTTAATAAATTTGTAATAAATTCTAAAAACCTGTTTTTGCTTCGTCATTATGGGGTATTGTGTGTAGATGGATGAGGGGGGGGAAATATTTCATTAATTTTAGAATAAGGCGTAACAAAATGTGGGTCTGAATACTTTCAGAGTGCACTGTACATGTGTAATATGGGTTAGTAAAGAGCATAGTGTACCTGCTGTGTATGGAGTTGGTAGCAGTGTGCTGCATTACTACAGCTGCTGCCTCCTGGGCCTTCCGGTTGAGGCCGGGGGGAGGGCACATCCCTGAGCCCACCTGAGGTGGCATGTTGCCCATGTTGGGTGGCATGTTGGGCCCCATGTTGGGGCCATAGGGACGCACTCCCATCTGGCCCGGAGGCATTCTACCAGGGGGGATGCCCGCGTACGGTGGCCCCCCTTGCCCAGACATGGGGTTCATGGGGTTGCCAATGCCAGGGCCGGGGTTCATGGGGTTGCCCATGCCAGGGCCGGGGTAGTTGGCATTGGGCATGTTGTTGTAGCCAGGTTGCCGGGGGTAACCTGTAGTAGAATGGATAAAAACAGTGTGTGTAAAAAATGTATGTGTAACAAAAAAACACTGCTCAGGTGACATTGGGAAGACTAGTTATATGCGCAAAACATCAAACTAAATATTTAATCAACTTGGGGTTCTATTGTAAAAGGTGGACTTGACAGCGAATGTCTGTTGAAGTTGTGCAAGGCACTATAGTGAGCTGGCAGTGGGAGCTGTGGACACTGAGCGCTGAGCCTGCCATCACAGTGGCAGCGCTACTGACAGGGGGGCTCTGCTATGTCAGCTGACTATTCTCCATGGTTAAAAATAGCTGCGCTAGACTCAGAGAGGGAGGGATGAGCTGATAGGATGGAATTCCTATGAGGCAGAAATACATATTCCATGGGTTTGGCTGGGGGAACAAACAAGAAGCAACTTGACAGGATGGTGAGATAATTAAGTGGGAAGCATTTATACATTAGCAGTCAGAGGACAACCAAAATGTTAAAGATCAAAATGATTTAAAGTCTATTTGGTATTTCAACAGAGTTATTATTTTTCAAGTGTACCAAATGTTTAAATTTTAACATAAAATATAACTTACTTCTCTTAATGCAAAACTAAACCAAATGATCCTTTAACTAATTGCCTCGAGACCCTCTCCTTTGTTGCACAGTGTAACCCACAGAACTCACCTTGTGGGCCATACTGCCCACCCTGAGGTCCATAGCCCCCCATGGAGTTGTTCTGCTGCTGATAAGGCCCCATCCCAGGGTGCATCTGGCCTCCAGAGGACTGTCGGGGTGACAGGGGAGAGGCAGACTGTGGTGAGCTGTAGGGGGGCATCTGGGGGTTTCTCTGCATGAACCCTGGCAGGGTCAAAGAAGAGAGAGTGAAAGATATGTTAATCCTCCAAAAAAACACTGGAAATCTCTCATAAGACACATCAGAACACCTCGGTACAGAAAATAGCTAGTATTTAGTTAGAAAGTACATGGTAAAATGGCAATTACAAAGTATTAACCAATTATACACTGTGTAAAATTATTTGAAGTAAGTACCAGAAAGTACCCATTGTTACCACACAATTTTCTAGTAAGTACCAGGTAAATACCAGTGGTACCATAAAAGAAAGTGCAACCAAAGTTTCTTTAAAACAGCACACTGTCAGTGGTCTCTGCAGAGGAGGGTGGTACTGTGTGATGGGGATTCTCAGTCAAGGTGAACTCACCTCTGTCCTGGGCCATGGGAGACTGGCTCATGGCGGGGTGCAGACTCCCGTCAGACTGCACACTCGATGGCCTGGGGGGCATCTGGGTCCCTAAACAACAGAAGGGTTATCTCAGTATGTAAATAAGACGTCTGAGTAGGAACAAGGCCACTAATGTCCCTTAAAATATTGTTAATCAAAATGACATTAGATTGAAACACTGGAGCTAATGCAGCCAAGCAGCTTTATGGTTTTAAAAGGTGCTAGGCTGCAGTAGCTCCAGTGTTTCAATCTATGGCCATTTTGTTGTCATTGTGTATTTGTATAACAAATGACATGTCCTAGTACATGTCAGAAAAACCCATGTATGTGTGCGCATACTTGTGTACGTGTGCTCACCTGGCATTGTGGCTGGTGAGAGGGGCCCCGTGCGGGAGGTGGTGGCACTGGCGGGGGAGCCGGCGGGTGACGGCGAGGGCCCTCGGATGCCTGGCAGGTGGGGAGAGGTGTGGGGCGAGAAGGGCGACTGGGCCAGGTTGCTCTGCTCGCCCTGGCTGCTTGACACACCTGAAGTGCTCACGCCAGGACTCAGAGCGCCATCCGTGCCCGTGGGTAGGTCATCGATGGAGCCTGAGAGATCCTGCAGACACACAAGACAGGAGAGAGCGGGACCTATGGTGAGGAGACGCTGTGGAAAAACGCCAGCCTGATAGAATCGACATGACAGCCATTAGCTGACTGTACAGTTAGCAGTGAGTCGTCTTGATAACAATTCCATGCATTTCCCGTAGCTCTGTCTACTAGCACAACAGAAGCACATAGAGGATGCAAGCACAATTTAATCTCCTCAGTCTTGGAAAGCATGATAGGACACTTTCTACTAGGTTTGGAGACGTGACACACACAGTTGTCCTTATTTATCTTGTCGAGGAAGAGAGAGCATATTAGAGCAGGGGGTTGTCATGGTTACGGTGAATGTATGCCGACTCAGCGCAGAGCAACCCTGCCATGTGAATCTGATACACGCTCTCACACACACACACAAGCAGCGCGTGCGCTTTCGCACTCGTTTTACCCAGGCCCGAGCTCTGCTCAAATTCACTAATATTCATCTCCCAGACTCCCACACAACATTTCTGCAAGTCCACAACACAAGAAACACACTACACATGCCCAATGACATCTACAGACACACACATACAATAAATAGGGGTAGCATTAATTAACCACAACAGCCCACACAATGGTTTTACTATGTGAACACTAAAATGGGTCACATGGATGCATGCAAACATGTTTCAATGCATTATGATTTCAGAACAATGTAATAATTTGATTTATAAATGTATAGCATACCTTTGCACAGGTTGGGTGAGGACTCACCGGTAGGCTGGACGGCCGGCCTTGCAGGTTGACGTCCTCTGAGCCACTTTTGGGCTGGTTGGAGGGAGGGGCGCTAGACTGGGAACTGAACGAGTCCTGGGATATCTCCTGGGGGAGAGAACGAGACAATCAGTATTGAAGAGCATTCACATATATGCGGACATGAGAATACACAAAGTGACAATACCAATGCCTTCCATCTGCAGAGCAAGTATGGCAACCGGTACTGCACGTTCAATGACGATATCAAAAGGTACCTCAATCATAAAACATAAATTGCACACAAACACCAAACTCAGTTATACCTGCTGTGGTGGAGGAGGGAAGCGTTGGTAAGGTGACTGCTGTGACTGTTGTTGTTGCAGCTGCTGTTGTTGCTGTGGAGGATTCTGGGAGTAGGATGCAGGCTGGCCCTGTGGATGCTGGCTGTGACCTGGTGGTTGCTGAGGGGGTTGAGAGGGTGTCTGGGGTTGCTGCTGCTGCTGTGTAGGGAGCTGCTGTGGGCCCTGCGTGGGTGGATAGCTAGGCTGGGGCTGCGACCCTGCTGGGACCTGGGAGCTGGCCTGCTGTGGAGGCTGGCTGGGAGGCCCCTGCAGCTGGGGATAAGGAGGCTGACCAGACTGTGCCTGAGCCTGGGCCGGACCCTGGGAGTAGGGCGGCTGAGACTGCGGGGGCCCTTGGGATGGACCTGGCTGCGGGCCCTGGGACTGGGGGGGCATGTGGGGCTGTGGATAGGGTGGCCCACCCTGTGCGTGTGAGGCTGATGTCTGGGGAGGGTGGGACTGCTGAGGGTAGGGTGTCTGACCACCCTGCTGACCCGGTGGTGCCTGGGGGTAAGGCCCTTGCTGCTGGCCTGGGTGTGAAGCCTGGCCCTGTTGGCCGTAGTAGGGCCCTTGGCCCTGAGGCCCATAGCCTCCTGGTCCCTGCTGTCCATAAGATGGCATCTATACACAAATACAGACCCCAGAGTTAGAAAACAAGCAAATGGGTAGGGATATGACAAGCAAGCCATATAGTAGTGTGTGAAGAGGAGGGCCGATTCAGGTGTGAGATTAATGTAGGAATAAATCAGATCGATGACACCACTGACCTGCTGCCCGTACTGCATGCCCCCCATAGCCCCAGGGGTGCGGCCCTGCATGCCCACCGGGTATCTCTGGGAGCCAAGGGGACCGTAGCCTTGGCCCGGGTATGCATGACCCTGCTGGGCTCCTGGGGGAGGCCCCTGCCCAGGCTGTTGGGAGTATGGACTGCCTCCTCCGTACGGCTGGCCTCTCATTTTAGCCATCGGATCCATTGCACCTGGGGGCTGTGGATCAGAAACAAAGATCAAATACATGAACAACACTTCATAACATGAACACTATTTAAAAAATACAGAGCGGTACGGGTGACAGGATGTACCATAGATCACAAAAGACTTGGATACGGGCAGATGACTATACTATAGTTTATAGGCACTTTAATTATCTGGCAGGGGTCTCTCGTGCAAGCAAGCAAACTCACACATTTTAAGCTTCCCAACACAGCAAGCGCTATAGGGAGGCCTTTTCCCATCCTGATAGGCACAAAAACAAAAAATATGACAGAAGGCAAGTCCACAAAACACACGAGAGTTTTTTTTTTCTTCTCACATTTCCCACGGTCATTAACCTGACTTTTACCTTTCTGTGCCATAGTTACGGAAGTCAACAGAGCTATATATCTCATCTCAAATGAAGGGCAGTCTGCCCAATCTTAAACCCATCCCAGCTGTGCTCCTGTTTGGTTCGGGGCCAAGCCGGTTTCCCTTTTTGGGAAGGCGGCAATTCTGACTCTGAATGAATGGCATCAAACGGAGGGAGAAGTTGCCTACTCACTCTACTCTGTTATGATGTGAACACCACTAACTATGAGTCAGGTATCCTTTCAATGGAGAATGTTTTCTTAAATCTCTAGGCCTCCCTCTCCTCAACATTATAATTTCACTCTATGAAAATGGCTAACCATAGGCCTATCAGTTTAACTTGCTCAACTCAAAACAACCTAAACAAGGGTCGTCAAAACATTTCATGTCGATAACAACGTTAATAACAACAAATGGACAAGCTAATGAAAACATAAGCATTAATTTACCACAGTGGATTCTTATGGGTTTGGTTTCTTTATCTGTACCCTTGTCAACGCACACTGCTCTGAGACTTGAGACAGCTCTGGAACGTCACTGCTAAACAAAGGCCTTTAGAAATGGAGGGCAAAAAGCCTTTCTTGACATTTCCCAGCTTCCAGATAATGAATTGAAATAAATAAAAGCAGCACATGGCTAATCTGCATAAGACAGTGGAGACTCCCTAGGCGGGGGAGAGGCGGCTGGACTGTCTCTGTGATTGGCCAAGGGGGGGTTAGAAGGAATTCTTAGTCACACACAGAGACAGTGGCACATGAGCTACAGCAGCTACTCATGTCACACACACACACGGCTCATGTTCACCTCGCTATGCAGTGTCAACACACAGCAATGCCACAGGATGTAGACCTAACCTTGCCTCAGGAATACATCTGTATGTCATTGATAGATGAACCCATCAAATGGGACATAGTGGATGATGTCTCCCTAACACATTACCATTGGCATGCATTACCATCACAAACCTAACAAAGACCCTATTGATGACCAAAACATTGTCAGGTAGAAGTTTGTTAGGGAGAAGTAAAGGTGTGTGAGTATTACTGCTTTACTATGCTAGTGAGTTATGACATGTAACCAAAGTCAGCTGGGCATACATCAGACAGGCCACACTGTAGTCTCGAAGCATGTACATACATTTCAAGACAGTTGGGTTAGTTCTGGGCGATATTCATGGATAGATATGTAGTCAGAGCAGATTTCATCTTTCCATGATATTTACATTGGTCAGTGGTCATGCCCAAATATGATTGCGCCAAATTGTGTTATCAGGTACTGCAGCAAGTTCTTGTTGTTGCCTACATAAGGGTTTCCCAAACTTGGTCCTAAGGCCCCCCCTGGGTGCACGTTTTGGTTTTTGCCCTAGCACTAAACAGCTGATTCAAATAACCAACTCACCATCAAGCTGATTATTTGAAATCAGCTGTGTAGTGCAAGGCCAAAAAGCGCACCCAGGGGTGCCCCAGGACCGAGTTTGGAAAACCCTGGCTTACACATTGGTCAAATTCAGTTGCTTCCAAATGTGAAAAACCCTGTCAAAATAAAGGCTGTGCAACCTGAACTTGTCAAATAATCATGTTAATTTAGCAATGTCTGTATTTCAAATTCATATCACACCCACACAGTCTTATTGTCCTTCAAATTGTTATTGTGATAAATGTTAACATTTTTGTGATATGGATTGTTTGTGATGAATTGCTCATCTGGCATCTTGTTTACACATCTCAACCACTAAGAAACATTATGTTGTTTCATATTTGTAGCTTTTAAATGCATGGTGCAGATACAAAAACTATTTAAATGGATCTTTGATCAAAAATGAGAGGAAATAGTGGGTGCTTAACAATGAGGGTAAAGATACCCTCAAGATACTATAGCCATTTTCATCTGCTTTTCTTTATAGGATGGTGCAAATACAGTTCTTTACTTATACATGTAGGCTATAGAGTTCCGTAAACCCTTCTATTTACCATGTTGGCCACGGTTGCTGTTTTGTTCATGAATCTAGAAATTCAACAGGTTATACCATGTAAAAAATAAACATTAGCTGAAAAACTTGCTGGCACAGAAAATGGCACACAATATCAAACTGGATTAACAAAGGTTAAACGTGATTACTTGGTCAATGGGCCAAACTCTGACCATTTCTCCTTATTATAGAATGCATGTGGAATAGTGCAAACAGGCATGTCATAGGTGTGGGAAACAGATGATTGCAAAGTAGTGATTTAGAGAAATTGCCAAAAATATGTTTAGTATGAGCAATCATGGATTTGTGCAGTGTGGGGGTGTGCACTTATCAGGAACTGTTGTTGCTTTACATCATATGTAATTATAAATGGCCAAGAGCAGGATGAGGAGCCAATCAGATCTCAGCTAGCATGTCAAACCAAGACCAACTGTTTACTGGCTTTGACAGCAGGATTTTTACCTCCGCAATTCAAATCCCAGAGCAAAGCAATCTGCAGTCAGACACTCAAATCACTAGGCTAATGTTTACAAGCAGAATGCGGTGGGGGGAAGCAGTTCCTGGCAACAGAGGCGCCAAGTGACAGTTTCAGAAATAACTAGGTCAGTGTGTGATGATTAAAATGTAACATTTTACATAATTTAGTTACTCGTGCAGTCCACGTCAAATCACTTTCAAAACACACGTACACTTGAGTCTCGGCAACATCAGTGTTCTGGCCTTGCTAATGTTGTGCATTTCCTTCACAATTTCCACAATGATCAAAACAGACTCGTCGACGTAAAAATGTATAGTCTATTCATAAACATTAAATTGTATTCCAAAACGACTGACGTTAGCAGTGCAAACAAATTAAATAGCCCTACTATGGAATAACTGTTTAATTGGGTTATATACCGCCCTGCCGAGAAAGAAGTCTGGGTAATGAATACGCCTTTAGAGCTTTTTCACCTCTTTCAAGATTCGGGCCTCCTTCATTCTCTGTACGTTCGAAGTTCCATTTCATAAGGAGGATTACCGAAGAATGGTTGCCTGAACGTGACACATTTCATACCAACCAAACAAATACTGTTTAATGAGGTGGTGTTGGAAAAACGAGAGGCAGCCATTTTAGAGTGTCTTTGCAAGCAAACTGGCTAGCAACAATGGCTGGCCTGCTACGTTGTGAACTACATACATCAGATTACACCAAATGTATAGTAATAAAGGTTCGGTGGAACATGGGCCTTTACCTGGCTTCTACCTAGGGGTTGCCCTGTACTTCCAGGGCTCATAGGCGGTGGATGATGGGTCCTTTGTTGCCAACCCGGATTCCCCCCTCCATACTGACCGCTACTGCCCGTGTCTGTTGGTCCCTTACTAGCTCCTTCCTGATTACTATATTCAGTAGATGGGTAATTTGGATATACCCGCGTGGAGCTTGGGGAGGTTAGGAGCTGGTTGAGGGTTGGGGTAGACGTTGGCTGTGGATTCCCCATATTATATCTCTGATTGTTGTACGATGCAGACATTGCTGTGGGTCCTCCTGCTGGTTGCTGCTTAACGTTAGCTGGCTGTCCCCCAGCTGCCGGAGCCTGGGTATTACGCGAGGGGTTCATGCCGTATCCTTGGCCAGAATAGGGAGTTCTGTTCGGGAATGGATTGTAATTGTTAAACTGGTGGTTAGAAAAGCCATGGTCGTGCGAATTGGGTTGATATGGGTCCATCATATTGCTCGACTGCACGGCTGGACCTGCAGCAGCTGCCATGCCAGGGCTTTGTTGTCCGCCATGTTGATGAAAAGGGGCCCGGCCGTAGTGTTGACTGTATCCATAAGAAGGTGGAGGAAAACCAGACCCGTGGTGGTGTACCATCCCGGGATGGTTATTCCCCTCGGATCCAATGGAATCATTCTGATTATTATTAGTCCTGGACGGGTTCCCGTTCCCGTTCTTCATCTCAGGTTCCCCTCCTCCCCCTGCATTTCCAACATCGGCCCCGTCGTGCAGATCCCCCCGGCCCGGAGATCCGCGCACTAATCCCGGCTGCTTGTTTTCCTGCTGCTTTTCCCCCAGTATAGAATCCTCCTTTGGGTCTCGATCCGGCTTCTTTAGTTCGGAAGGCGGGCTTGTGTTGAGAGTGGCGGCGCTGGCGACCTGAGCGGCCATAATACCCCCCTCTCTCCGCGAGTCAGTCACAATCAAACGCTAGCATTGAATATAAATAATTGTTTATAACCATTTATCCTTGTCCCGATTCATTCCCACCCCTTTCACCGGACCGAATCCGGTTTTGTCTCCCGATTCCGATGTGAAAATAATTGGACACGTAATAATAAATCTCAAGGATACATAAAAACAGACAAATATTCTGGGGGCTCTTTTACTGAGCGAGAGCATAGGCAAGGAACGGAGCGAACCAGCACGAGGCTCCGCGAGATACAGCCATTTTACTGAGCCGTATAAACATAAGTAAAGTACGGATTGGACCTCAGTGGGAACACGGAGTGGATTCGTTCATTTTTACATTGTATAAGGGCATAAGTGGTTGCATTTATAAAGTGATGTTTGCGTTTTAAATGCAACTATTCTCAAAACATGCGTCTTTGCTTTGTTCCATTCTATCGACTGTTTTTGAACAATTCAACATGAGACAGGCCAAGCAGGAACCTGATGATTGAGTGGTCATGTTTCATGGTTTGGAAGTCTGAATAATATTAACTATTATTTACATTGTTTCATTATGATGTATCCACGTTCAACGAATGTCGTTTGGTTGAAAGACTCCTGCTCTGGGCAAGGACTGAGTGTGAGGGGGTAGCATTTCACCAGTGTCGATGTGTCATCGTGTGCGAACTGCGGAGCGCAATATGGGATGAGGCCGCAAGAATGAATGAGGAAGTGAAAATAAAAAATAAATAAGATAGTCACACAAATCAGCTACAATCTGGTCATGTTAGCATGTTCTAAATATCAAAATTCAGTTGGGCCCTATAAAATGGATATTAGCTCAGAATTTTAGAGGGAAAACCTTGCCTGAACGAGACTACTAATGCACCCTCTCACTAATTCCCCCGCCCTCTCCCTACCCACCCCCTCTCTGTCTCTCGCTCCTAACAGCAGCCGCGCTAGCAGAAACACTCCTCTTGTGAGTGTGGGGGATGGGCAGTGAACACAGCTTTCTCAACCGCCAACATTGAACTACGCTGGCCAACCCTGACCTTGCCCCACTCACATCAATAGTTACTCAGAGTAAATTTTGTATGTTTTTTTAAATAACATTTTGCACCATGTTCTTTGGGTGTATCAAAAATCCTTAAGCTAAAATTCATTCTGTTCGTTCAACTATTTTTGTTAGAGCCCACTTTTTGTGTGTGTGTGGTTGCATTGAAGCCATATTCTGATCAATGTGAGATAAATCTACAGTCCCCCCCCCCCATACACACACACAGTTGTACAGGGGGCGATAAGGAAAAAGGCAGGAAGTGCCAGTCAGGAGGCATACTCACATGTATAAACATTCACAACTCAACCTCACATTCTCCCTGACACACCCACTCATAGCCTGAGAGTGATGATCATTCCCAGACAATCACATACACACGTAAACACACACATTGTCTGGAGTGTGCTGAGGAAGGAGGTGCCACTCTATGATACACACACTAGGGAATGCTCGACAGAAGTGCTACTCGGTAACCCTTTCACAGACAAGAACACATCGACAACACTCTTCATGAATGATGGTACTTTGCCCAGTGCTCTAAAACTATAACAAAATATGTTGATGTAACCTTGAGCAAGGCACATAACCCTAATTTGCTCCTGGGTTGGCATTCTACTATGGCTGATCCTGTAAAACAACACAATTCACTGCACCTATCCGGTGTATATGACAATAAAACAGATCAGATCAATCTAGATTTGTATAATGGCAGTCGGGATATGGCCTTTCAAGGTACTACAGCCTGCCATTATTTCATTATTTTTCCTATGTTAGCACCATCTGTGTCTGCACCTAGCCTACATCCCCAATTGAGATGAGAAGAAGCATCTATCTAGAGGTCCATACTAAATATCAATCTTAAACAGCCATTTTTTAATACAAGGGAAATGTAGCAGAAAAGCCTGTAAGGATTTTGACCTTTCACTAAGGACAACAGGTCTCAGAGGAGATATGGAAAGAATTGTCACCATTCTCTCAAAGCCACTATACTATATATACATAAGGGAAGAGGCAGGAGTTTTTGCCGCTTTGGAAGACATGCAGGGCCTTCCCATCCCAGAGAACAGACACAGGGCCAGTTGTGCAGAAACACAGATTTAATGTAGCTTCCTCTCCTGACTTCGTTTTTTTAAAATGCTTTGGCCACCTGTAAAAGCTGGAGTAGAATTTTTAAAGGGATCTAAGGAAGGGGATTTGGATACACTGGTGCCATCTCCTGGTCAGAAAGAAACTTAAAACAAATACAGTACCCTAAATAGATCTCCTATTTTTAATGAACAAAAATATAAATGCAACATGTAAAGTGTTGGTTTCATGAGCTGAAATAAAAGACCCCAGAATTTTTCCATAGGCACAGAAAGCTTCTTTCTCTCAAATTGTGCACAAATGTGTTTACATCCCTGTTAGTTAACATTTCTCCTTTGCAAAGATAATCCATCCACCTCACAGGTGTGGCATATCAAGAAGCTGATTAAACAGCATGCTCATTACACAGGTGCACTTTGTGCTGGGGACAATATAAGGCTACCCTAAAATGTGCAGTTTTCTCACAACACAATGCCACAGATTTCTCAAGTTTTGAAGGAGCGTGCAATTGGCATGCTGACTGACGGAATGTCCACCAGAACTGTTGCCAGAGAATATAATGTTCAGTTCTCTACCATAAGCCGCCTTCAACATTGTTTTAGAGAATTTGGTAGTACGTCCAACCGGCCTCACAACCGCAGATCATGTGTAACCATGCCAACCCAGGACCTCCACATCCGGCTTCTTCACCTACAGGGATCGTCTGAGACCCCACTCGGGAGACCCCACTGAGGAGTATTTCTGTCTGTAATAAAGACCTTTTGTGGGGAAAAACTCATTTCTAATTGGCTGGGCCTGGCATCCCAGTGGGTGGGCCTTCCCAGGCCCACCCATGGCTGTGCCCCTGCCCAGTCATGTGAAATCCATAGATTAGGGCCTAATGAATTTATTTCAACTGACAGATTTCCTTATATGAACTGTAACTCAGTAAAATCGTTGAAATTGTTGCATGTTGCGTTTATATTTTTGTTCAGTATACAGTGGGGGAAAAAAGTATTTAGTCAGCCAACAAATGAATGAAATAATCTTATTAAATACTTTTTTCTTTACATAGTTGAATGTGCTGACAACAAAATCACACAAAAATTATCAATGGAAATCAAATTTATCAACCCATGGAGGTCTGGATTTGGAGTCACCCTCAAAATTAAAGTGGAAAACCACACTACAGGCTGATCCAACTTTGATGTAATGTCCTTAAAACAAGTCAAAATGAGGCTCAGTAGTGTGTGTGGCCTCCACGTGCCTGTATGACCTCCCTACAACGCCTGGGCATGCTCCTGATGAGATGGCGGATGGTCTCCTGAGGGATCTCCTCCCAGACCTGGACTAAAGCATCCGCCAACTCCTGAACAGTCTGTGGTGCAACGTGGCGTTGGTGGATGGAGCGAGACATGATGTCCCAGATGTGCTCAATTGGATTCAGGTCTGGGGAACGGGCGGGCCAGTCCATAGCATCAATGCCTTCCTCTTGCAGGAACTGCTGACACACTCCAGCCACATGAGGTCTAGCATTGTCTTGCATTAGGAGGAACCCAGGGCCAACCGCACCAGCATATGGTCTCACAAGGGGTCTGAGGATCTCATCTCGGTACCTAATGGCAGTCAGGCTACCTCTGGCGAGCACATGGAGGGCTGTGCGGCCCCCCAAAGAAATGCCACCCCACACCATGACTGACCCACCGCCAAACCGGTCATGCTGGAGGATGTTGTAGGCAGCAGTTCTCCACGGCGTCTCCAGACTCTGTCACGTCTGTCACATGTGCTCAGTGTGAACCTGCTTTCATCTGTGAAGAGCACAGGGCGCCAGTGGCGAATTTGCCAATCTTGGTGTTCTCTGGCAAATGCCAAACGTCCTGCACGGTGTTGGGCTGTAAGCACAACCCCCATCTGTGGACGTTGGGCCCTCTTACCACCCTCATGGAGTCTGTTTCTGACCGTTTGAGCAGACACATGCACATTTGTGGCCTGCTGGAGGTCATTTTGCAGGGCTCTGGCAGTGCTCCTCCTGCTCCTCCTTGCACAAAGGCGGAGGTAGCAGTCCTGCTGCTGGGTTGTTGCCCTCCTACGGCCTCCTCCACGTCTCCTGATGTACTGGCCTGTCTCCTGGTAGCGCCTCCATGCTCTGGACACTACGCTGACAGACACAGCAAACCTTCTTGCCACAGCTCGCATTGATGTGCCATCCTGGATGAGCTGCACTACCTGAGCCACTTGTGTGGGTTGTAGACTCCGTCTCATGCTACCACTAGAGTGAAAGCACTGCCAGCATTCAAAAGTGACCAAAACATCAGCCAGGAAGCATAGGAACTGAGAAGTGGTCTGTGGTCACCACCTGCAAAACCAGTCCTTTATTGGGGGGTGTCTTGCTAATTGCCTATAATTTCCACCTGTTGTCTATTCCATTTGCACAACAGCATGTGAAATGTATTGTCAATCAGTGTTGCTTCCTAAGTGGACAGTTTGATTTCACAGAAGTGTGATTGACTTGGAGTTACATTGTTGTTTAAGTGGGAGAACTTGCACAATTGGTGGCTGACTAAATACTTTTTTTCCCCACTGTACATAATACTGTAAATAAAGGTATGGCAACTGCTCGGAGGGTACTGCGCTACAGAGTGTAGTGCGTACGGCCCAGTACATCACTGTGGCCAAGCTTCCTGCCATCCAGGACCTATATACTAGATGGTGTCAGAGGAAGGCTCCAAAAATTGTAAAAGACTCCAGTCACCCAAGTCATAGACTGTTGAACAATTAATCAAATGGCCACCCGGACTATTTGCATTGACACCCCCCTTTGTTTTTACACTGCTGCTACTCGCTGACTCGCTATGCAGTCATTTTACCCCTACCTACATGTACAAATTACCTCAACTAACCTGTACCCCCGCACATTGACTCGGTACCGGTACCCCCCCCTCATTGTTATTTTGTGTTACTTTTTAATTAAAAAATACATTTTCACTTTTTACTTCAGTTTATTTAGTAAATATTTTCTTAACTCCCTTTTCTTAAAACTGCATTGTTGGTTAAGGGCTTGTAAGTAAGCATTTCACGGTAAGGTCTACACCTGTTGTATTCGGCGCATGTGACAAATAAAATGTGCTTTCATTTGATATTTTGCCTCATTAGACAAGTTATGCTTGGCCCAGTCTCCTTCACCAGCCATGTGTTTTAGACTCTTTAAGTAGGGTTAGTTTTGACTGCCAATATACTGACAGTGTTCTTTATTCCATGTGAAAACAAGGTTTACAAGAAAGCAATTCTCCATAGATAAAACATATGCACATTCATCTATTTATTGGTTTCCCAACGAGCCTCTGGACACTGCTGCTATGAACTGTTTTCTGAGCATATGAAAGTCAAGATTGCTTCTACCTTTCTAGATGCATAGCAGCATTAGTTCCATTTAAACTACATCTTTGAAAGGTTGGCAGACAACAACTGAGGACAAGACCTTGAAGTGTGACCAATACTTTGGAGATAGAACTCCATTCCATGTTTTTAAAACAGCTCTACTCTATGAGCTAGGCGAATTACTGACTCAGTTATGCCAATGCTTCTGAAGGTTATCGTGTTTGTTCCATAAAATCTGGCCTCCATCTACAAAGATGAAACACCAAGGTCGTTATAAATGTATATTTGAAACCTCCATCTATCATTTTACATCCTCAAAGTGAGCATCCAATCAGAATCTTGCCTACTACGTTGCACAAGTCTATTGTTTTAATCTGCATGTGAGCTTCTTTCTGTTGGCTATCAGCTGCCACCTATGGAGAACAAACATTACCTGAATAGATTCTGGAGAGAAATTCAGGGAACAGCTGCATCAAGGGACCAGTACCTATGCTGCTGATCTGAATCAAGCTACACTCTGAATTCTCCCTCTCTGCCTCTTGCTCATCTATATGTGTCACAGGTCTGGGGTAGATAGGGAGATGATGATGCATAGGGCACCTCACCCTCTCCTGGTCTGCACCTATTACACAGAGCTATAGGTCCATACAAACACACAAGAGGGCACATCTGTAAATGTCTGTTGTACATGCATGTAAGACCAACTCTTCACAAACTTTATTCATGAAAAAAACAACACTTATTAACAGTTTATTTTGCTAATTTGCAATGGGATTCGTACCCAATGTACACATCTTATAGACTGAAGGGCTGACCAAACTGCCCCTACAAACCTGGGTATTTCTCATTACAAAATGTAAATCATTATCTGTAGTCCAGTGCTCCTGGATTTGTCCATCTTTTTTCACTGGCAGAATAAGAGATGAGCATTTGCATCCAACTAACACTGGAATTACAACCCAGCCACAAAGCCAAGGATATATCAATCCAAACTCTTAACCCAGATTGATCCAAATTCTTGGATTGTGGGGTAGGAAGCAGTTGGCTTGGAATCTGTTTGCAGTCTGATGCTTCTAACCCTTTCTCCACCCTTCTCTCCTCTCTATATACCCAGAGCCAGCCATATCAAGTTAAAAGTGATAATTTACATGTTCAGTCAAAGAGGGAAAGAAGAATAGCATTTTCTGCATTTGACACACCACTTCCACTGGACAAATGTTGTATTGTCGGTCCTTTGCTGGCCCAGTGCAAGCAACATGGAGGTCAGCAGCATCCATTGATGAGTGTCTGGTGATCTACAGATCCATCACCTCCTCCTCCACGGTCTTTTCACCATCTCCAACATACCTCTCTTGCACTCCTAGAGTTCTAGGGGTAAATTTTTAAAGAAAATCAAATCTAAATGCTATTCGTAAACAACAGGTGTAGACCAACAGTGAAATGCTTAGGAGTGTAGACCAGTCATCTATGGTAAGCAGCACTCCACAGGCAGATCTGTTTAGAACAGAACACACTATTCAAACTCTAATAATAATTGTCATCACTTGCTGAGACTGCTTAAAAAGGTTCCAAATGCAGCAGTTTTTATCTCAATATCAAATCATTTCTGGGTAACAATTAAGTACCTTACTGAGATTGTTTTCATTTAAAATGGTAAAAAAAAGAAAAAAGTTGCTTCTTAGCAAAGATCAATTTCTCAAGCAAGAATTTTGCTAGGACTATCTGGGAGTGGTCTGAGTGGGGAGGGGAAAACGAGCTGTTATTGGCAGAGGTTTGGAACTCTCTTATTGGTCTATTTAAGTGAAAATGCCAGAGAAGCCGGTGTTTGGAGAGTATATTGGCACAGTGTTGTTAGACCCAAGACGAAGTCGGCAAACTGTGCCAATATATCCTCCAAACACCGCCTTCGAGGGCATTATCACTTTTATACAACGGGTTACCAACATATTCAAATAATGATTGATATATTTTCATTAAAATGGTTTGATTAATTTATTCATACTATTTCATCCTTCCATGAGATATAGTCCTGACACAAATCTAGGGTTTGCTCCCCAAGCCGGCTGGCTGGTCGTTGGGGTTGGTTGCCAGAGACGCGACCCAGTCCTTAAGTATTTTTGTTCTGTATCTATGGACGCGACCCAGTCGGTCTATTGCCATACTGGCTGACAACGTTTTTATCCCTTGCTTGCTAGCTAGCCATCTACAGCTAACTTACAGTCACGTCAAACAGTGCAGCCATAATAACAGCAAAGTAGCTAGCTGCCTTTGCTTAAGCTGTTTTCTAGTGACATTTGGATCCATTCATAAGAATGACCTAATGATGCGCGATTTCACCTGACATAGAAAATGTGCACTCTCGTCAGGACACTGTTGTTCAGAGGAGCTAGCCAACAACACAATCACTTCAAACTGAAGCTGGAAACTGCATTTCATTTCACCTGTTTTCTATTGACACTTGAAAATATCCATACAAATTATGCTGATTCATGATTTCGACTGCCTGAGAAAAGCTGCCTGCATGTCTCGTCCCGACCCCTACAAGTTCATTACTATGGGACAGCTGGAGCTCGAATTTCAATATTGAAACAATGTTGCAAATGTCAGAGAGACAGACAGCAAATCTCCACCATTGAAAACTAATTGCTAGTCTAAAAGAAATGGGAGATATTGTCTAGATGCTTTTTACAGTGGAGATCAAGTTTATAAATTATCTGGCTGGGCTGACGAGACAGTGGATTGCGCAGTGAGATGGAACAGAGTAAATAGGCATTTCAACATCATAGCTTTAGCCGGTGGTAACTTGTGGAATAGACACCAGGCTGGAATGCAGTTTTAACCAATCAGTGTCCAGGATTAGACCCAACCGTTGTATAATAACTAATTAACCACCTGGTGATGTCACCAGGCAGGCCAACACTCCATCCCATCAAAACAGGCTGAAATTTCAGCCGGTCTTTTCAAACAGCTCTTCCATGAAAAGGGTATTATCATAATTTCACAGTATTATTCCAAACTCAGAGTGGAAATATATATATATAACACACAGGAAAATCTAGTTTTGGACTGAACTGGGCCTTTAACACTTTTTACATTTAAAATGGCTTTGTTTCATAGGTTGAGCATGTGAAATAGATTGTTTAATAACAAACACATACATCAATATAGCAGCTGTGAGTAAAGGATACGAGGTGAACTGGAAGTCTGCTCCCACAGCGGCTGACAACATTGCATGCAGGTTCCTCTCCTCCAGGTCACCGAAGCAGTAGCCATTGGCCTTGTCCACTGTCCGCAGGACCTGCATCATGCTCTCCCTGTCCTGGAGATGAAGCACAGTGTAGGATGTCAGTGGTTAAGTGGCAAAAATGTAAATGCAGGCTTCATCCTCCAGGTTGAGACTACAGTGTTTTACCATTACCTCACCTTCTAAAATGGACCAGTATTTATTATGAGTTTAGACAAAGTGTTATCAAGGTTGTGTTCACTAGAAGGCACGAAGCGGAGAAAAAGATCTGAAACAGGGAGGTACTGAACTTTATGTCCCATAATAAATATGACCCAGGAACAGTAGATGCCCAAGAACCAGTGAACTTCTAAAGGCAGCAGCAGAGTCTCACCTGCACATTGAGAGGCACAAAAGAGACAAGACCGTAGTCTTGTATGACCCCTGCGAGTTTCTCATTCAGTTTGAGGAACTTCCTAAAGAAAGGGTCAGCAGCCAAGTGATCCAGCAGATATGTCAGGTCCATAACCTCTGTGTAGAAGTCCAGGTTGAAGGCTATCCCAGAGACAGACAAAGTGCAAAAATGAAACAAATCCCCCAGCTAAAGACAAACTGTAAAATCAAACACTTCTGAGGGAAACTGAGGGAATATAGCCATACAAAGCCCATATTCATCATCACCCAGGACGTCTCATCTCACCCAGTTTGCCGTACTGCTCGATGAGGTCCATCTTGGAGAGGACGTTGACGTGGGGTAGCTCCACGTGCAGCATGGTGGACAAGGAGGTGCACAGCACTGAGATGAACTTAGCTGGGTCAGCGCAGTAATGAGAGTCCACAAGGTGCACTGCAGTCAGCTGAGAGTGTTTAAAGAGGGAGTGTTAGTGAGACAGTGAGGGGATTGAATTATCTGGCCCAGGTTATCCCCAGGTTATCCCGGCGGGGGGAGTTTGCACTGGGTGAAAAGTGATTGCATTTGTTTTGGAACCGGGCTGCCCCCTCGGGCGTGAGCCAGGTGCCCTGTTCAAAGCCCACGGTGAAGTTGTCTCAAAACAAAAGTGACGTAGGCTAGATTAAGCATGTGGAGTAATGAGTAGGCTTCTGTGTTTTCACATGCAAAACTGATTGCTTTTAACAAAAACACTTTATCTGCCTTCTCAATGAAAACTAGTTTGAAAATTCAAACATATATTTTATGGAAAATATATGTTTTTCTGGACAATGCACCATGCTGTTCGATTTGAGAAGGGTGCTCCTCCCTCACCGCTTTTGCCCGTTAACGTCACAGGCCATAGACTGGTGCACCGCTGCTCAGGTTAATAGAACTCCCTCAGTGATAATGAGCACAACCTATGACTCAACACTAATAAAGCACATGCCAATAAACAACATTACAAATAGCTAGGACTACTTGTCAAAGCCCCAAATTCTCCATCAATATGGCGAACAATTAGCCTAAATGATACTACTCTTAAATTAGCCTAAATGATACTGAATGTGGATTGACATACTACACTGAGTTTTTATTTTGGGGAATCATTAATACTAGGAATCACAACATTCCAGCACAAATATCTTAGAATCCTGAAGCATCTCACCCTGAAGTTCCACTTGGCCAGCTGAGCAAAGACGTTTTTCACTGAGTTCTGGTGGGTGTACAGCTCCACTTGACCAGGACAGTCAAACAGGAAGTAACAGTCACTATGTTCCTCTAACTTGGCTTCCAGCCAGTCCAGATTGGCCTCCAGATACTCCATGCAGTACAGGAGTCCACCATTGGGCCCCAGCTTCAAACCCTCCATCACGTCATGTAGGGTGACCAGCTCTGAAATATCCACAGCACAGGGGTATGGGAGCCCTTCATTTGCAGGGTCCATGTTCACCACAACTACCTTCCGTCCCAAGTGACTCAAGAACTCCTGCATCCCCCGGCAGTATGTGGTTTTACCTGAGCCAGGAGGTCCAATGACCACCTGGCCAAAGCGTAAGGATGGAGGCTGCGAGGGCTGGGTGGCCATGATTACTTCTCCAAAACTCTGACCTGTTAGGTTCCCATCTGAGGAGAAAACAAACGGTACATGCCCATCACTGACCCCTGTCCTTAGCCACTAACCACCACCTATGGTCCTTGCCTCAGGTTAGCCCATTCATAGAAGATAACTACATTTAGCGCCTATTAATGATAGTTTATTCTGGCCGGGTGAGTTTTGTTAGGTGCCCGGACGCTCGTTCTCAACGTTAACATGCATAATGTACGGTACGGTTTTGGAAACATAAGGTCTTAAACATAAGATATCTTTCATATCAGCAATAAATATTTTTCAAAAAACGAAAGGTTAAATTACTACACACCTTTATAGGGTTAGGGTTCCCACATGGCCATATTTCCATGTTACAGCGCTTGTTCACGGAAAAGACAGAGGCGACTATCTGTGCTAATTTGCTATCTGCGTCTGTGTGTAAACGCAAGATGGACGCCAAAAACGTGTTGTCGCTGAAAAATTATTTAGTCTGCATCTGTGTTAAAACCGTGTACAGTATGTATATATTTTTCATTTGTTAACTAAATTTGTGATATGAAAGTAAGGGGCTTTATGTTTCTAGAACAGTACCGCAATTGAGAATCGATGTTTTTGCTATGAGAGCCAATTCGCATTTAAACAGAACATTTTACATCTAGCTAAGATCCTTGGACTCTGAGTAACATTAGGCTCATTTAGTCCATTATTGGGATAGCTGAGGAACGTTCAACTCCGTTCTCTTATATCGAGGCGGAGTTGAGTTTTGATAACTGTTTTGCTAGCAACAACATCCGCCTCGATTTAAGAGAACGGAGTTCAGCGTTCATCAGCTATTATGGTCCAGCGCAGGGTTTCCCAAACTCGGTCCTCGGGACCCCAAGTGCACGTTTTGGTTTTTGTCATAACACTACACAGCTGATTCAAATAATCATCAAGCGTTGATCATTTGATTCAGCTGTGAAGTGTTAAACACAAACCAAAATGTACACTTTGGGAAACTAGCCAGGTTTGCACAGAAACGTGTATCCAATGTTGTTTACTGACTAACGTCTTTCAATTAACCTGCACATTTTATAGTGTTGCTAGTCAGCAGCAGTGGTGGAAAAATTACCCAATTGTCATACTTGAATACAAGTAAAGATACCTTAATATAAAATGACACAAAAGTCACCCAGTAACATATACTAATTGAGTAAAAGTCTTAAAGTATTTGGTTTTAAATATACTTAATTATCAAAAGTAAATGTAATTGCTAAAATATACTTAAGTATCAAAAGTAATTATTTCAAATTCCTTATATTAAACAAACCAGACAGCACATTGTTTTTTAAATTTACGGATAGCCAGGGACACACTCCAACACTCAGACATAATTTACAAACCAGATCAGAGGCAATAGAGATGACCAGGGATGTTCTCTTGATAAGTGTGTGAATTAGACAATTTTCCTGTCCTGTTAAGCATTCAAAACACTTTTGGGTGTCAGGAAAAATGTATGCAGTAAAAAGTACATTATTTTCTTTAGGACTGTAACGTTAGTGAAATAAAAGTAAAGTACAGATACCCCCCAAAATTACTTAGGTACTACTTTAAAGTAATTTTACTTAAGTACTTTACACCACCGGTTAGCAGAGCATTCAATGCACAATGTCATGCGAAATGATGATGCGCTAGCTAGCTATCCATATTGCAGCTAGCTTGCTAATTTGCAGCGTAGCTAAAATAGCTACCAAAATGCTCCTCAAAAGACTTGTTATAACAACAAATAAGGGTTGTAAATTTTACATTATGGTAAGAGTGAAATGTACTAACTTCGCCACCTGCCGCCGTTAAAATTGGTTGTTGGAGAAATTACCCAAAACCTAGCCAACGCCGCTGTGAAACAGGCAAGAATATACTAAGTACTTCCGGGTCACGGTTTTTTGGAATCCTTCAGAATAAAAGTCCCGTCCTGTATACTTAGTGAAGGAATAATTAGGGCAAAAATGAGCCCAATTATCGATATATTTGACTTATCATACAAAGAATGACGTATTTCTATAAGATATGTAATTTAAAAAATGTTTCAAGCCTAAATGTTCAACAATAAAAAAAGTGTGTACTCCTATCATTAATTGTACCATACAAAAGTATCTGTTTGTTATGTCGCTGTAAAAGGGGGTCCATTCTGCTTAGGAGCACTTCTAGTTTCCAAATTCACAGAGTTTACACCCAGAGGAGCGTCGTTTCTCATTTGGCGGCCCTTATAGAGTGGCCCATCAACTTAAATCCAATATTTGTTTTCACATTGGACATACATATTGCACCATACAAAATTATCTGTACGTTGTGTTGCAGTAAAGGGGGGTCCATTCTACTCAGGAGGAGCACTTCTAGTTTCCAAATTCACAGAGTTTACACCTAGAGAAGCGTCTTTGCTCATTTGGTGGCCCTTATAGAGTGGCCCATCAACTTAAATCCATTTTCTTTTCATATTGGACATACAGTGAGGGAAAAAAGTATTTGATCCCCTGCTGATTTTGTACGTTTGCCCACTGACAAAGACATGATCAGTCTATAATTTTAATGGTAGGTTTATTTGAACAGTGAGAGACAGAATAACAACAACAAAAAATCCATAAAAACGCATGTCAAAAATGTTATACATTGATTTGCATTTTAATGAGGGAATAAGTATTTGACCCCTCTGCAAAACATTACTTAGAACTTGGTGGCAAAACCCTTGTTGGCAATCACAGAGGTCAGACGTTTCTTGTAGTTGGCCACCAGGTTTGCACACATCTCAGGAGGGATTTTGTCCCACTCCTCTTTGCAGATCTTCTCCAAGTCACTAAGGTTTCGAGGCTGACGTTTGGCAACTCGAACCTTCAGATCCCTCCACAGATTTTCTATGGGATTATGGTCTGGAGACTGGCTAGGCCACTCCAGGACCTTAATGTGCTTCTTCTTGAGCCACTCCTTTGTTGCCTTGGCCGTGTATTTTGGGTCATTGTCATGCTGGAATACCCACCCACGACCCATTTTCAATGCCCTGGCTGAGGGAAGGAGGTTCTCACCCAAGATTTCATTTAATTTCATTTTAGTCATTTAGCAGACGCTCTTATCCAGAGCGACTTACAGTTAGTGAGTGCATACATTATTCTTTTTTATATATATATTATTATGATTATTATTTTTTTTATTTTTTTTACTGGCCCCCCGTGGGAATTGAACCCAAAACCCTGGCGTTGCAAACGCTATGCTCAACCAACTGAGCTACATCCCTGCCGGCCATTCCCTCCCCTATCCTGGACGACGCTGGGCCAATTGTGCGCCGCCCCATGGGTCTCCCGGTCGCGGCCAGCTACGACAGAGCCTGGATTCGAACCAGGATCTCTAGTGGCACAGCTAGCACTGCAATACAGTGCCTTAGACCACTGCGCCACTCTGGAGATTTGACGGTACATGGCCCCATCCATCGTCCCTTTGATGCAGTGAAGTTGTCCTGTCCCCTTAGCAGAAAAACACCCCCAAAGCATAATATTTCCACCTCCATGTTTGACGGTGGGGATGGTGTTCTTGGGGTCATAGGCAGCATTCCTCCTCCTCCAAACACGGTGAGTTGAGTTGATGCCAAAGAGCTCCATTTTGGTCTCATCTGACCACAACACTTTCACCCAGTTCTCCTCTGAATCATTCAGATGTTCATTGGCAAACTTCAGACGGGCCTGTATATGTGCTTTCTTGAGCAGGGGGACCTTGCGGGCGCTGCAGGATTTCAGTCCTTCACGGCGTAGTGTGTTACCAGTTGTTTTCTTGGTGACTATGGTCCCAGCTGCCTTGAGATTATTGACAAGATCCTCCCGTGTAGTTCTGGGCTGATTCCTCACCGTTCTCATGATCATTGCAACTCCACGAGGTGAGATCTTGCATGGAGCCCCAGGCCGAGGGAGATTGACAGTTATTTTGTGTTTCTTCCATTTGCGAATAATAGCACCAAGCTGCTTGGCGATGGTCTTGTTGCCCATTCCAGCCTTGTGTCGGTCTACAATATTGTCCCTGACATCCTTGGAGAGCTCTTTGGTCTTGGCCATGGTGGAGAGTTTGGAATCTGATTGATTGATTGTTTCTGTGCACAGGTGTCATTTATACAGGTAACAAGCTGAGATTAGGAGCACTCCCTTTAAGAGTGTGCTCCTAATCTCAGCTCGTTACCTGTATAAAAGACACCTGGGAGCCAGACATCTTTCTGATTTGAGAGGGGGTCAAATACTTATTTCCCTCATTAGAATGCAAATCAATTTATAACATTTTTGACATGCGTTTTTCTGGACTTTTTTGTTGTTATTCTGTCTCTCACTGTTCAAATAAACCTACCATTAAAATTATAGACTGATAATTTCTTTGTCAGTGGGCAAACGTACAAAATCAGCAGGGGATCAAATACTTTTTTCCCTCACTGTACATATTGCACCATACCAAATTATCTGTACATTGTGTTGCAGTAAAAGGGGGTCCATTCTACTCAGGAGCACTTCTAGCAATATAATCTATCTTGCTATGTAATCCATGCACCACAGACACTACTAGTAAAGATGGTTATGAAAGCAATTTACCTACACATTTTACTCTGTCCAGCATACATAGCAAGCACACATATGAATTGTCTAGTGTAGTCACATTTTCAGATAAATATACATTTTTGAAAATGTACACCAAATGATCAGAATCTACAGTAGCCTATACCTTTGAATTAGTCAAACATTTATTTTCTGAAGCTTCATTTGTTGTGGTAGCATATAGAAGAACACAGAGCACAAACATACTGAATTTCCATCGGAAACAGACCACTCATTTGTGCACTGACCAATGCAATGACAAGCATTCACCTGGGCAAATTCCCAGTCCATCTGACTACCATCTCCACTAACTAGAGAGGATTATGATACAATGAGAAATGGAAAGTGGCTTAGTGGTGGGATTATAGATGTTTACAACAATCAAGTGAAATCTCACAAGAATGAAAATAATGTATTAATGGCTATTGCTTCTTTTGTTAGCAAAGAATTGCATAACCTCTATTGGCAAACAGATGTTCTGACAAAGGTCCCAGGAGCAGTGTTCAATTGGTGGTGTTTTGAGGTAGTGATAATACCTGTGAATGTGAAATCATCACATTGGGTAGCCATAGCAATTGACATGAAACAGAGAGTAACAAATGGTACAACCATAACATTAAGTTGTAGAATAATGGACTCCTTACAGCTATATGAAATGGAGCTTGAGGACATTATGTACTGACTGCAAAAATACCTGGCATGTCATGGAGTTGTGGTGGATATTAGCCTCAACTATGAATTCTGTCATCGATGCCCTACATTTATAAAACAGAAAGATGGCAGCAGTAGGTGATAATTATGTATGTTTGTTTTCCAAAGCATTCCTTTTTGGAGGAAGTATTAATCAATTTTGTCTCAAGGGTATGAGAGAGTGTCTGTTGTATGAGTTGACAGAAAACAAAGTACTTAGAAAGTTGGAGCTGAATAATGAATGAAAGCTCTATACTTTCAAATGAATTTAAGAAAACTTATTCATTTTGAATGACTTTTTGAAGTCACCTTATGAATTATTGTTTTTATATAAGTTATTAAAAGCATTGTTTTAATTTTGTATTACTAATGAGTTCAAGGAAGTCATGAATTTGAGGACAGTCAAATTTTATTAAATGCCTGTTGTGTAAAGAATTACTCATAAAATGAATTAAGTCATCTTATCAATTGTACTTATCAATTGGAGGGTTTATTGAAAGACAATCTTTATGGACGTATTTTGAGGTTTTGGGTTTCTATAGTCAGCACTTGATGATACTGGAAAATAATTATTTGATGTATTTTTCCAAGACTGGATGTGAAAGAATAGTCATCTGTTAAATGTTATATGGTGCATGATTCTCAGAAATTTAATTTTGTCTTTCAGGAACTGAAAGCCTGGGACCTTTGAGACGTGATGTTCCTTGCCAAGGGCATTTGCTGAAATCACAAAGAGAACCAAGTGGAAGTTGTTGATCTTCTTGTAAATATATTGTTTAAAAGTATTATTTATGACATTTATATTAGCAAAAGTTTGAATGCATAGATTTCAGGACAGTTTTCAATGTACAAATTCTATACATTTTCTTTAGTGTAATGTTTTTTTTTGTTTTTGTGTATTTGGACTTGTCTAATGACTCATCTTTTTATGTGTGTTTCCCAGCAGTTTGTGATGTTAGTATTTTGTATCAGGGGTGGCTTCATGTTAAAGCCCCATTCTACCACACCTGATTCTACTAATCAGCTTTTTAGTAGAACTGGGCTTGAACAAAGGCTTGCACACCCTGTTGGTCCTTAAGAGCAGGTTGGACCAGCCCTGATTAATAAGTACTAGTTCCTAAGTCCAGAGGGAAAAAAACTCTAGATCACCTTTACTCCACACACAGAGACGCATACAAAGCTCTCCCTCGCCCTCCATTTGGCAAATCTGACCATAACTCTATCCTCCTGATTCCTGCTTATAAGTAAAAACTAAAGCAGGAAGCGCCAGTGACTCGGCATTGAGGAGTACACCACATCAGTCACTGGCTTCATCAATAAGTGCATGTCGTCCCCACAGTGACCGTACGTACATACCCCAACCAGAAGCCATGGATTACAGGAAACATCCGCACTGAGCTAAAGGGTAGAGCTGCCGCTTTCAAGGAGCGGGACTCTAACCCGGACGCTTATAAGAAATCCCGCTATGCCCTCCGACGAACCATCAAACAGGCAAAGAGTCAATACAGGACTAAGATTGAATCGTACTACACCGGCTCTGACGCTCGTCGGATGTGGCAGGGCTTGAAAACTATTACAGACTACAAAGGGAAGCACAGCCGCGAGCTGCCCAGTGACACAAG